GAATGTGTCCCTGGCTTTCAGCGCTTGGCACCGAGCCGGGTGCCAGAGGGCACTCAGAATTGTGGAATAGTGAGTTGTAGTATATTTTCGTGGCAGCTCTGTAAAGCAGTACGGTTGGTTTGCGCATTCTTTTTTTTTAATTTTTTTAAAAAAAAGTTTATTTATTTGAGAGAGAGAATGAGATAGAGCATGAGAAGGGGGAGGGTCAGAGGGAGAAGCAGACTCCCCGCCGAGCAGGGAGCCCGATGTGGGACTCGATCCCGGGACTCCAGGATCATGACCTGAGCCGAAGGCAGTCGCTTAACCAACTGAGCCACCCAGGCGCCCTGGTTTGCACATTCTACAGAGATGGGAAACAGACTCGGAGAGGTTAAATCGCTTGCCTTTGGTCACACAGCTAGGACGGGCAGAGCTGTGATTGAGACCCATTGGTGCCCCAGCAGTAGCCACGTGCCCCCCGCCCACGGTGGAGCGGGAGCCGGTCCTCCTGGGCGCTTTATCTTGTCGTCCTCGTTAGATTTTTAACTTAAAATGTTAAGTTGAGATAACATTTCGAGTTACAGAGAAGTTAGCAAGAAGGTTCTCAGACCCTTGGCCCAGAGTTGTACAGGGCGGTCTGGATTTCCCCTGAAACGGCCCTGCGGGGGGCGAGCGCTGGGGCAGGGCCCTGTCGGGGGGAGTTCCTGGTGACCCCACCCAGGAAGCAGGCAAACTCCAGAGCAGCCTCCGGGCTTGCTGGGTGCAGACACGGGAGGAGAGGCTAGGGTTTATCATTTTCCGTGGGAGAAAGGAGATTCTGGAGGGTTGGGAGACTAAAAGAAGAGTGGCTTATAAATAAAAGGGAGGACCTGCGGCTGCTCACACAGGCGGCCAGGGGCGCTGCGGGAACTCTTAAGGCTGAGCTCAGACGGCTGCGCCCCATGCGTTTCCTGTCCTTGCCAGTGCAGGTCAGGGTTAATGTCTGTACTGTTTTCTCAGTTTTCTGTGTGTGCGCTTGCCACACAGGTTTTGAAAAACCCCTCCTTATGTTCACCTTTTGCACCCTTGTACCTACTCTCTCCCTTCTGGATTGCATGTTTTTTCTCCTCCTAAGGCCGTCTTCCCAAAGGCATTGCATTCAGAGGAAGGGCAGGAGGATTCTTCCCTATGGGAGAGGAAAGAGGGGTGTTCTCTTTTAAAGGGGTAAAGATTTGGAAGTTTTCCAGCTCCAGAGACTTCCTCCAGTTCTGATACTAAAAGAAACCAGTGTTCTCCGCTCCGGGGCCTGAGCTTGTGATTTCTGTGCCTTTCCCCCTGCTTCCAGACTCCTCCACCCAGAAGTTGATGAGTTACCATTTCGGAAGCTTTTTTCCCCTTGCGCTTCCTCACTGCTACTCAGCCTGTGCCGGACAGTAAGCGCCGTGATGTGATGGTGGAGGTGTGGTTCCTGACGTCCCCGTGCTCTGGCGAGGGCCTGGCACACAGCAGAAGCTCCGTCAATATTTGCTCGGAGAGCTGCCCTTGGTCTGTGGCCGAGGTGTGCAATCGCTAGGTCAGTAAACTTCACATAAGAGAGGAGATCTTACAAGTTCTCATCACAGGAAAAAAAAAATGTAATCATGTGAGTTGATGACGCCTGTTAACTTGTGGTCATCGTTTTGCAGTATATACATATGTCAAATCCTTTTGCAGTCCACTTCAAACAAATACAGTGTTATATGTCGGTTATATCTGAACTAAAAGAAATCAGGGTCCCAGCCTTTTAGGTGTTCACTGCTTCTCTGGGATCTATTTTCCAGTTGATCCTTTAATCATAGGGTGTTCTACCTTGAAAGGATCTTGGAGGTCCTTGGGGCCACCTCTTTCCTGTTATTGCTCGTTATGGTTTCCTTGGTTTTTAATCTCTGAGAAGGAAGGATAGTGGTTACGCGAGCATGTCTCAGTTATGCCTGTGTGGGTGATCCAGGGTAAGTTTCTCTTTCCAGACCAGCTAGGTCCTTCGATCTTCCCCAAGCTTCTGGGAATGCTGACATGAGGAGGCCTAGGGATGATGGGTGCTTAGCTAAGCATCTGCAATTAAGAACTCACTAGGGGCACCTGGCTGGCTCAGTCAGGATACTACTCTTGATCTCAGGGTTGTGAGTTTGAGCCCCACGCCAGGTGTAGAAACTGCTTAAAAATAAATTCTTAAAGAAAAAAAAGGAACTCACCAAATTGATTTGACCCTGCCTCTTTGCTCTTAATCACTCTCTTTATCCCTTCTCTTTTTCATTCTTAGGCTTCTCATCTCTCATTCAGGCAGTAAGCCCCTAGGGTGGATATATGCTACAGTATTTGTGCAGTTAGCTATTTTGTTCATTTTTAAACAGCAATTTATTTTAGATAGAGAGTGGGGTGTGGGAGAGGAGCAGAGGGAGAGGGAGAGAGAGTATCTTATTCACGCTCCACGCTGAGGGAGGTGGGGCTCGATCTCAAGACCCTGAGATTACGACCTGAGCCATAATCACCTGGGCCATAATCAAGAGTCGGACGCTTAACTGAGCCACCCAGGCGCCCCTATTTTATACATTTTTTTAAAAAATTATTTTGTACATGTTTAATGGTGGGCCTTTGGTTGCCTTGATTTCTTAAATGGAACCATCTTGCTCCATAGGCCACACCAGTGAGAGCTGCAGCAGATTTTGCAAAATTGTCCTGTTAGGCTAGGAAGCACCTTCGAGATGATTCACGCTGGTCCCTTTGATTTGATAGGAAGTGAGGGAGTGGACTCGGGTCAGTGAGCTGAGGGCACGGAATCAGTGGGCAACAGATGCTGGGTCAGAGCCCTGGCCTTGCTGGAACTGGGCTTCCTTGTCACAGCGCCCTCGTGCCCTCCCGGGGCCACATCTCACACTTGTGAAGTGGGGACCTCTTACCGCCCACTTCTTAGTATTTGCTTTGGAGAGTCTTTGGACAGTCTGTACTGAAAAATGAACGTCGGAACAAAGCCTCATTATCTTTGTCAGCCGTGGCCTGTGGCCAGCAAATTGTGGATGGGAAAGAGCCGGGCAAGCAGAGAGGTGCAATGTGTGTTCTGATTTTCCTTAGAAATCGTCATTGAAGCTTCTGAAAAGTTATTTTAATCTACAGCTTTTTTTTTTCCCCCTTTCCTAACCATTGACACCAAAAATAGGATTGCTTTGGGGTTTTATGTTGGCAGACAGAATGCCCCCCAAGAGACTTTGAGGCTCACTCCTCCCGCTGGGGAACGAGGAGGCGGTCTCTGTTTCTCCAGCATTACCAACAGGGACCCGTCCGACTTCACTCCGATGCTGCTGAACTTGGGAAGTTACTGACCTACTTTATAGTCAGCATACCCCTATATTCAGGCTCTGAATTCAAAAAACTTGACAGCTGAATGGATCAAGAGCCATTTTATGTTTTTTTGTTGTTGTTTTTTTTTAGATTTTTAAAAAATTATTTGATTGAGAGAGCACACATGTGCGCTCAGGCGGGGGGAGGGGCAGAGGGAGAGGGACAAGTGGACTCTGCTCTGAGCGGGAAGCTCGGTCCACAACCCCGAGATCATGACCTGAGCTGAAGTCAGGAGTCAGACACCTGACCGGCTGAGCCCCCCAGGCTGCCCCTAGAGCCCTTTTATGTTCTTTATTAAAGTGTTCCTGCAAGTTCTTTGGTCGCCACCCCATGCGGCTCCGAGCACTGGCTCCCCGTGAGAATATGAGGACCGAGGCCGGCTCGGGCAGCCTCCGGCTGTGAGGATGGCCTAAAAAGAGACACCTTTTCAGACCTTTTATTGTGGGGGATAAATCAGTCCATATTAGCTGCTCTTCCTCTTTTTGACTTGAAGACAGTTAGGACCCTTCATCCTTTGAGCTGCTACTCAGGGTTACCTGTGCTCATGTAGCCTTTCTTTAAGTCTTCAGACACCCACACGGGAACAGTGGGGACCTGTTTGTGTTAGTGGAAACAACATAGAGGACCCGGTTAAAATGGAGTTTGGTCTGTTAACCTAGTTGGGTTGTCCCCGCACAAGCCACACACCCCCGGAGAGGTCTCAGGAACCGGAGTTACTGAGGGTTGGTAGGCTTTGGGTCCAAGCACCACTGCCACGGAACATCTAAGTTTTTACTGGCAGGTGAATTTACTTAGAACTTGATCTCCTTTGGAAACTGGAATAACGTCTGCTTGGGTAGGTCGTTGGGAGAATTAAACACAACACAAGGCAGGTGTCTTGGATAGTTGGCTTCATGGGGTCCCAGCACACTGGGGTTCGGCCGTCTGTAATTGCATAGCCATTGCATAATGTCATGTGTTGGTTGAGCTCTTTAGATAGTAAACCATCGGCGAATCCTTCAGTGGTAAGAGGGTTCAACTAATACCGTCCTGTCCACGGTGTGGAGAGTCAGAGCTGGGGTGAGATTGGAGGGGTTGGGGACGGTGAGAGTGGGTGGGTAGGGGAAATCTGGCTACTTGTATCTTGACAGGAGGATTTGTTTGGAAGGTAAATCACCCTCTGGTAGTTGTGTATAAGTAGGTCATTGATTGCCAGTTGATATTACTAATTAACCATTACTTTTTGCTTTGTGAATATGGTGAAGCTGTAAAGACCATAAAGTTCATAGAACGTGCTAAAGAGGAGTGTTTGGTATGTGTCCGTAAATACTGTTTAAAATGGAAATGGCCAGTCTTGCAAGTACTCTTAGAGAATGGTGTTTGTGCAGAAGGGAAATTTAGCAAAGACAGTTTTACAAGATAATACTAAGTGAAGTGTGGCTTTTAGCTGCTGATGGGTTAGTTTTATTCGATATAGCCCTCAGGAGGACTTAGTCTGAAGGAATGAAAGCCATGTTTGGTGGGTGACCCTGAGATCTGAAAGTGAGAGGGCGTGTGTGTCAGTGCCTGGGTGTGTATGTCAAGGTGAAGTGCTCCAGAGTTCTTGTGTGGAATGTAAAAAGAATCCTGGCTTATCTGCATTTTTTTCTGTGCTTGTTCATGTGTACCATGGCTTGTTTTTCTTCTAGGATGTGGAGAAAGAGAAGGAGACCCACAATTACCTCAGCAAAGAGGAAATCAAAGAGAAAGTTCATAAATACAACCTAGCAGTCACAGACAAGTTGAAGATGACCTTGGTAAGCACCCATAGTCCTGTTTGTGCTGACACATGTCAAAAGACAAATACAGACTCTTGGTATGACCGTCTGTATGTTTTAAAATCTCTGAATAGCATTTGCAGAAGTTTAATGTTCAAGGTATGCAGGACAATAGAGTATTTCTGCAGCTCTCAGATTGAAGCTAAATTTTAAAGTAGCTTTATCGCACCATCAGTTAATACTTTAAAGTTTTATTGTAAAAGTTTTTTTGACCGTCCGAAGGATTTTTAGCATTGAGTATTGCCATTGCCATTTGGTACCTCAAATTCTAATAAGGCGTAGATCAGTTTTATCTTGTGCAAATAAGTATGGAAGTGTCAGGAAAAGGATTTCATGCCCATGGTTTAGAAAATAATTGAGCTAAGATTTCTCTGGGCTGGTTGTCATGAAAGATGGCGAATGTAATAGCCTCCCACACGTTGTTTCAGGCTTCTGCAGTGTGGTAGCAAACACTGAAGCTCAGTGGGGGGTGAGGATGTAGGAGGAAGGCGGCACAGGGCTTAGTGACAACAGAAGGAGAGCCAGCAACAGAGCCAGAGTATTCATGGGCCTCAAACTGGACTGGCGTCTCTGCTCGTCCTCAACATTTGGTGACTTTCCTCAAGGCACCTGCCAGCCCTTAGTACCCGTTTCCAGGGCCCTTGGACTTCTGCCTCTCAGGCTATTGACTGTGAACTGACAGTTCAGTAGAGGACAGGGTGGCTGGTTTAGAACAGGCCCTACTGAATTCTGTGGCCTTTGGGGAGGAGCGTTACATATAAGCCCTTATGATAAAGGATCCCTCCCCAGTGGGACTCCCCCCAAAGGGGGAAAGCGGGACACAGGATCCCAAGATTATTCTTCATTACTCCAACAGTGATAATTGTTTCAAATGCACTTTTCATCAAAGGAGAAATACTTCACTTGTCATGGGTTCTTCTTCCCTCCCCCATGGAGATGAAAACATGCAAGTTTCCATCTTGTTGCAAAAATAGAAATTTGAAGAGTTGTATAATACTTTCCACAAGAATGAACAAGTGAATCCGTATTGTAAATTGATCTTGCGGAAAGGAAGAAAAATAATGGACCAAAAAGGAGGTTTTTTAATGTTTTAATTTAACTGTCTCATTTCTGTATAACACCTGAGGCTTTGTTTTAATAAAACATTAGAATACATTTTTTCTAAATATACTGGATGTAAAAAGAAAAAGTGAAGATCAGACCATTATTACTATTTTTGGTAACTAAGAAATAGTAAGTCTACCATCAGTTAAGACAAGTGCTAAACTCAGCAAGTTGTGTGTATTAAATATGTGCAGTTTATTTGTATAAGAAGCATACCTCAATAAAATGGGTAAAAGATAGTATACAGAAGGAGTTATAAACACCACGTTAAGACAAAAAAGACAAGTGCTTATAATGACCATAGTTCACATCGTAGCTTCAACTGGTTTTGCACTCTTGCTGCCTGAGGCACCCGAGGTGCGTCGTCACGCGCTGTGTGGGGTATGTGCTGTGTCCAGACGTTTCGATGAAATTGATAATCTAGGACCTACCGCCATAGCCGCTAGGAATGAGATGGCTTGTTTGTGTACTGTCCCCTCCAGGCTTGTTTAGGTGTTCCCAAGTCCCCAGAGACCTTCCTTTTCTTTCTTATTTTTTAAGATTTTATTTACCGAGAGAGGTAGAGAGCACGCACGTGCAAGCATGAGTAGGGGGGAGGGGCAGAGGGGGGGAGAAGCAGATTCTCTGATGAGCAGGGAGCCTGATGCAGGGGCTCGATCCTAGGTCCCTGAGATCATGACCTGAGCCAAAGGCAGACGCGTAACCGACTGAGCCCGCCAGGCACCCCGCCACCTTCCTTTTCTGTGTAGTAGCTGGTCACCAGCTGCAGATGTTTCCTTTGAGCCGTTGGCCCCGGCATGTCCCCCACTCACGCGTGCGTCTTGGGATTTGGCTGGCCTCTGGTCTGCTGGACCGTAACCTCTCCAGTGGGCCCTGACCTCTCAGATGTCGGCTTCAGAGGCGTCCGTCTCGGACCGCAGTCCCCACAGCACGAGGAGGCTTCTGTCGCCACATCTGCCCTACAGACCCTGGCTCTGGAAGCACGTCGCCGGCGTGGTGGTAACCTCCCCCTGAGATCCTTTCCTTAGGGCCGATCTTCAGTGAAGCTCTGTCACAGAGCGGTAAAAGCACAGAACAAGAGAAAGAGGGTCTCACCTTCTCTCTAACCGTGTGCTTTTCTTCCTGCTTCAGAATTCAAATGGGATTTACACTGGCTTCATTAAAGTCCAGATGGAGCTCTGCAGACCCCCCCAGACTTCTGGAAAGCTCGCTCCCAGTAGCAACGGCTGTATGAATACGCTGCACATCAGCAGCACGAACACCGTCGGGGAAGTGATCGAGGCCCTGCTCAAGAAGTTTCTCGTGACCGAGAGCCCTGCCAAGTTTGCACTTTATAAGCGTTGTCATAGGGAAGACCAAGGTATGCTGCCAGGCCTGAGATGAAAATGGTCTCTGCTTTTCTGTCTGTCCTCAGGAGCAGCAGGAACACGGCTGGGTGTGTGTGTCTCAGAGCCCAGGGACAGATTCTGGAAGCTGTGGTGATCCTGGCTTACACCTTTAATCCCTGGCTTTCCTGTTCTTGAGTCAGACGGTTGTGGGTCTGAGGAGCTGCGAGGCACCCACACGTGATGGGCATTTGTGGAGGAGTTTGTGATGTGCACGGGGGGATAGCTTGGAATTTTTTTTTTTTTTAAGCCTTAATTTTAATGTTCTTCAGAACAGAAAAGGATGCCTCTGTGCTTGACGGTTTCATTAGCACATTCCACATTTGATGTGCGTCCGCACGTGGGGTGGTTTGGGGGACTCGCGTCCTCGGAGACTTGGAGGACGGGGAGGCACGTGTGTGTTACTGCACGTTTCAGACTTACTGGTGTCTTGTGTTTCCTGAGCTCGCCTCACTGGCTATGACCCTGGTGCATGTGGCCCCCTGGACCCCAGAGGCACATACAGTGGGTGGATGGCATTCTCCTCTGCGGGCTGCCTGTGTGAACTTAATACCCACATTCAGCGGGTAGGAAGAGGGTATTAAGTAACTGCATGAAACTGAATATGGTAGTCAGGTAGTGGAGCAGCAATTGATGACCAGGGGTGGATGACCGTGATTCTGTGAGTCACCAAGTGCTCATTTGAAAATGGTATAGCTGTGTGGACGGTCAGCTACTTAAACTGTTGGGGGTAGAGCCCACAGCAGCAGCGGAGGAGGATATAGTAACTGGACATGCTAGAAATATCCTTCAGTTGTTTGGGGCTGAAACGCAGCTAGTTGCTGAGCGTGCATACATTTTTTTGAGCCCAAACCATGGGCTGGGCCCTGCAGAATACGAAGAGGGACAGGCCAAGGTTCCTACCCTCAGGAGGCCCTGGGCTCAGCAGCGTGGGGTTTCCATCTCCTACGATGCTTCGGTGCCTGCCCGCTGGGCTGGAGCTGCGCGGGCGGACGGTGCTAGCGTCGTGGGCCGGCGGACCCATTCATTGCGGCAGGCGGTGCTGGGACCGTGCGTGCGTGTGCGTGCGTGTGTCTGTCTCGCTCACAGGAGACACACACGGCTGTGTCTGCCGCCAGCCGAGCCCGCCTTCGGACTGCTTGGCTTGTCTGTAGCTGCTCACAATCCTAAGTTAATCTATAGACAGATTCGCTCTGATTTTGTGTCCTTTGCTTGGTATATTTTTACTGTTTCTTAAAGGGGTTGCAGATGCTTTTGTAAGTGTACTTTCTTGCTTTCTGAAAGGAGGAGCAGAATGAATTACAGGCCCATCCTGGGACTAACTAATGCCCATTTAGATTCATTCTGGAGGATGATTTCCTTTGTAATCGAGGCACAGTGTGTATTGTGCAGTTAGAACGGAGGTAGCGTAGATTTAATTCCGCCGCAGGCTGTTCACGGTGAGAGGGGCAGGAGGATGGTGGTGACTCGGTGGCTGGGTGAGGGGGGCTGTTGCTTTGATCTGGAGGAGGGGCTGGAAAGTGGGGTGTACGGTCCAGGGGACGACGAAATACTCCAACGGGCTGCCTGTTTGCTTACGCAGTCTACGCCTGTAAGCTCTCAGACCGCGAGCATCCACTCTACCTGCGTTTGGTGGCTGGGCCCAGAACAGACACACTGAGTTTTGTTCTTCGTGAACACGAAATCGGAGAGGTAAGTGATTGTTCATTCTTGCTTTACACTGTAGAGAGCACCTCGCCCTGTTTTACTGCTTGAATCTAGTGACTTTATTCCCGCCAGGGGGTGGGCAGGAGGAGAGAGAACCAGCGAGTGCCCGTCCAGCTGTCTGTCTGTATCTCTTGGGGGGGAGAGGGGGGAGCTGGTCTGGAGGACAGGTGTTTTTGAATTGACAGAAATGAACCCAAAGTTAGCCTATGATTGATATGTGTGTGTATATATATATATATACACATATCAATATACATATATATTTTTAAGTATTCTCTTGGTTTATAATTTTCAGAGGTGGGAAGAGCCCAAGTAAGAGATCTCCCTCCCACCCAAAGAGCCCTTTTCACTCTTGCCTCCAAATTACCCTAATCCAGCTAAACTATGAAAGTCGATACTCTCCATATGTTTGCTGCTAACATCTCCAGGCTCTTTCGTTTAAAGAGAAATAAAAGGAAATGCAATCAAAAAATGAAATGTCAGGGAAAAAAAAAAAAGTGCAGTTTCTTTACCACGAAAGATCTATAACTTTCTAGAATCTTTTTTTTCCTCTTGGCAAAGTGATTTAGAAATTATGTTTGTATATGCATCATTTGCCATTTTCTCTCCAGGGAGGATTGAATTTAGGTCAGTTCAGTTGAAGGAAAAACGCACTTTGTACTGTCCTTCTAGATCAAACGCCAACTTTAAAACGACACTTGAGTAAATCTTGCAAGCCCGGGGTCTCTGTCGTCTGCCCAGACAGGAAATGGCATGAATTGTCTGTGTAAAACATTGTGTGATGCAGTGAAAATAGTTTCAGGTTAAAAGTTAGGAAACTAGTACTCTGCTTCCTGCTGGTCCTCTTGTTAGCTTAGGAGCATGACCTTGGGTAAATCTTCCAGTCTTTTCAGCCCTCAGTTTTGAATTCTGTAAAGTGGGACTAAAGACTTTATTAAAAGGTGATTTTGAGTCACAAATTAAAAATACACATAAACATGCCTTGTAAATTGTTTTATCTGTAAGTTGGAGCTTGATTTGGGGAGTTTTAGGAAGACAGGGCTGTTTTAATTAATGGAACATTCTGATGTAGAAAGTTTTTTTCTCCTACTCCATGTTTCTTATTTTTCTTAATAACCAGGGCAGAGTTCTCCAGAAAGCCTTCTACCATTGTGCCTACTTGGTGGTTTTATTCCATCTTTTCTACTTGTATTAGGTTATCTCTGGTCTTTTCCCTCCCCACACCCTGGGACTTCCCCGTCAGAAATTGTACCTGGGGCACCTGGGGGGCTCAGTCCGTTGAGCATCCGACTCTTGATTTCGGCTCAGGTCACGGTTTCTGGGTTGTGAGATTGAGCCCGGTGGGCAGAGGGCTCAATGCTCCACACTCAGCGGGAGTCTGCTTGGGATTCTCTCCCTCTCCCTCACCCTCTGCTTGTGTGGGTGTGCACGCTCACTCTCTCTCTCTAATAAATAAATCTTTAGGAAAAAAAAGAAAGAAAGAAAGAAAGAAATTGTTCCTGTTTAAGGCAGTGATTCTCAGCCCAGGACCCAGGGCCCCCTTTTGGAAGGGGAGGATGTGTCGTTAGAAAAACAAACAAACAAAAACCCTCCCTGGTGATGTCAAGTACCTTTCTTGACCTTTACTGATCAATTAAAAAATTTTTCTTAAACCGCACAGATGTTTACTTTGTGCCGACTAGGTTACCAGGTGCTGTGGGGAGACCACTGCAGAGCCTGGATGGAAGCACAGCAGCTGCAGTGTTAGGTCAAGTGTAGGTGAGGGGGATGCCGAGCAAGTAACTGTCCGACTGTTTAAATCTTTTGTGATCAGGGCTACCATTGCTCAGTGAGAGCTTCTAATAGACATCATCCTGGGTGGGAAGGAAGGGAGGAAGGAAATCATGGAAGACTTCTTTGAGGAAGTGGCGTTTAAGCTGAGACTTGAAGGTTGAGTAGGAGTTTGCCAGGCATAGTGGAGAACGTGGTAATGTAATGGGTGGGACAGTGTGAGAACGAGGGGAGCCAGAGGGGCCAGGGTCTTTCAGACTTAGCAGGAACAACCAGGGGAAGCCACTGAAGGATTCTAGCAGGGGAGGGGCATGCCTAGATTTGCATTTTAGGAAGAGTATTCATATTCAGCCTGGCTGCTGGGGGAACAGATGGAACAGAAGAGTAGAGTGAGGAGGTCACGGAGAAGGGTGAGGTTCTCCCGGGGCTGGAGAAGAGGATGGTGAATACATAGGGGGCAGCAGAGGTAGTAGAGAAGAGCAGGCCAGTTGGAGAGCTGCTTAGGAGCTGGTAAGACTGGGGGAGGTGAAAGGTGGCGGCCGTGATGGTGGTGACTGCAGGGAGAGGGCGAGGGCAGTGGGCTCTGACGCTCAGTGGTCCGGTGGAGAGGGGCCAGGTCAGCAGTGAAGGTGTCTAGTGCGCCTAGGGCCCTGAGGTCTTTGGCCCCAGTGAGAGCTGCCGTGGGGAGCTGCGGGAGGCAGGCAGAGGAGAGGGTGGGCCTGGGTGCCCTGGGGGGGGGCGGGGCGAGGGGCGCCCCCCCCACGTGCTCCCGGCCAGCATGCCTACATTCTGACTTCAGCACCTGGCACTTTTCTTCTTGTGTCCTCGCGCAGTGGGAAGCCTTCAGCCTTCCAGAACTACAGAATTTCTTGCGCATCTTGGACAAGGAGGAGGACGAGCAGCTGCAGAGCCTGAGGCGGCGCTACGCGGCCTACCGGCAGAAGCTGGAGGAGGCCCTCAGTGAGGTGTGGAAACCCCGTTAGGCGCCGGCTCCCTGCCGCTCAGGAAGGAGGGGCGCGGAGCCGCGGCCGAGCCGGCAGCCGGCGTCTCGGTGGAGGGCTGGCTTCGCGCCCCGAGATGCTGGGGCCTCCGCCCTCGATCCCGAGATCTAGTTCCCGCCACCTGGTCACGCAGCGCCCCGCGCCTTCGGCCTCTCCTGCCCGGGATTCTGCCGCTCGGTCTAACAGCCGTGCGGGGTCACCTCGGCAAGCTGTGAATCTGTGCTCTCATCTGGAGCAGCCTAGACGGCTTGGAAGCATGACTCTGGGTTTTGTTTGGTTTATTTTTATTCCTTACCTTGTTTTAGTTAATTATGTGTTGATGAAGTTAAGCTTAAGGATGTGCAAATGATTTTTTTTTAAAAGCTTAACAAGGAATCTATCTGAATACTTGTCCTATGTTGAAACTACCTGTCCATTTTTTGTTTTGTTTTTAAATGTCAGAAGCGATGCATGTGAATTGAAAGGCACCGGAAGCTAGGAACTCGGGGGCATTTGTGAAGGGTTTGGTTAGGAGTTGGACAGAGAACGTGAAGAGCAAGTGTGGAGGAAGGCACCAGTGGAAGTGGGGAGCTCTGCGGGAATGCGGTTTGGGTGAGGGGTTGATGGTCGGGGAGAAAGGTGTATTTGGTTATAGACCACATGAAAGCATTCGGTTTTGAGATGTTAAACCCATTGTGGTATTGACTGATTTGCTGGAGTAAGATGTGGGAACAGAGCCAGAGCAAGTAGGAGCTAGACCAAAGGGAGGAACTGGGACGTCCCCGCAGGTGGACCTCGCAGGCCCAGATGGGGGTGGGGTGGGAATCCTGCTGCGGGGGCTGCCCTCTCTGGGGACTGGTCCCCGTGCAAGGCGGGGGGTTGGCTTCTCCGGGCAGTGCGGCAATGACCTATGGCTAACTCCTTGACCTATGGCTTACGTTACGGCCCTGGTCTCCCCCAGCCCGGCTGTCTTCTGAGTGGAAAGGAGACTGGGTAGGGGGTGGCAGTTTTCCTGTTAGCTGGGTGATTTGTCAGGTAGAGAGCTCACTGCCTACTTTTGTGACAATCACTCCCCTTCTTTACCTGTTTTCCCTTTTTCCTCCCCTTCCCCTTTTCCACCTCCACTCTCCCCTCTTCTTCCTCTGCCTTTCTCTTACAAATTGCAATCTGTTTTTATATAAGGTAGAATGGGGATGTGGATTATAGACCCAGGGCCATCAGATCCTCCTTCCAAAAGGAGTACTTGACTCTGAGGAGGAAGGTGGCCAGAAAGGGAGGACTCCCCTGCCCCTGCCCCGCCGCCCACGAGCTGACCACACAAGAGGGGTTCTTTCTGGAAATGCTTTAACAAAAGTGCATGTTCCTACCAACCAAAGAAAGGCATGTGCAATAGAAGCCTTCCTTAAAGCAGGTTAAATAACCTCATTTTTTGCAGCAGTCAATCCGAAAACAATAGGAAAGCTGTGGTTCTGAAGGGGCCTTATGATCTATTTTTAGTCTAGATATATTTTGTTTATAAATTCCCAAGGAATTGTCAACACTTTGGTGACACCTAATGGATTCTTTTTGAAATTCCAAGGTGCTTCATTTCTTTGCCTCTTAAGTGAACTGTGCCTTTTAAAAATTGCATTTCTGTTCCCCTCTTGGTGGCACTTCTGACTTTTCAGAGAGCACCCATCTTGTTGGAGGCAGGTGTCCGTGGTGATCTGCTGTGCACGGTTACTGGTTACTGAGACAGTCCTATCTTCCTAAGCTTTTTAAGGAGAGTTGGAAAAAAAAAAGTAGAACTAGCTATAAAATATGTGTGGCACATCTTGTTTAATTTTGCATGTAACTTTTTTTTAGTGCATCGATGAGGTTTTAGTGACGTCATCCAGTACTTTACCTTTATTGTTCAGGGAATGCCTTCATGATTTTTATACTGGTTTTACTGTTCAGACTGTGGCTTGGGTTTGAGTATACTGTTATCAGCCACCTGGTCTTTTAATTGCCCACCCAGTAAGCTTATATTTTGTGAAGCATTTGTTTCTCAGAATAAGACACTGTTAGAACCTAAAGTAGTAGCTGATGGTTATCTGTGAATTTTTTTTTTTTTTTTTTTACTTGAAGTAGATTGTCTAAAATAGGCATCGTCCTCTGTAGTACCCAGCACCTCGCTCGTTGTCGTGCGCACTACGAGTTGCAATTTGGAAAACTTGCTGTATTGAAATTCTGTCAGTACTTAGTTCTTGGAATACTGACGTTCTCTCCCAAACACTGGTTCCTGCAGCAGCATTTTTCATGCATAAAAGAAGAAAGGCCACGATGGCCAAAGATTTTTAAAAATCATTGTACTAATTCTTAGGTTAAATTAAACTAAGCTTTGCTGTAATACTGTTTTCTCTTCAGTATGTGATGGTACCGGAATGTTGTTAAAATGAAGGAGGTGGTATTGCAGGGGAGCATTTTGAATCGCAGAAGTAAAAAAGTTATAATATTTATAATTTTGATGAGTTTATTTTTATAGGGAAGATTTTTCTTCCCTGCAGTTGTTTCTGGAATGGCAAATTGTTTCCATTATTAAAAATCGAAGTTGTTAGTTGGTGTTTGTTCATGTGTTTTTATTTATGATAATATGCCAGGTAAAAGGTCACAGGAGTGGGACGAGCTGCTTTTGCAGACCCATGAGGACACGTGCTGGAACGCAGTGATTTACTAGGTTTGAGTGGGGCACATTTGTTCTCCCAAATGTTGCTTTTCCTTTGTCTTATCGCCTGGGGAAGAAAACCGCCGAGGTCTGCCCATACCATACATTCCTAAAACAATTGTTTTAACTGTGAAATATACATGCATTCAAAAGTGTATAAAGCACGTTAACAAAGAGTTAATTTAAAGTGGACGCCCTGTGGCCCCTACCGAAACAGGAGGGGATCATCCGTTCTTTCAGAATCCTCTCCCTGCACCTTCCCTTCCTGCTTTTAAGTCTCCTGTCCTTGAAACAGATCACTTGCAACGTTAAAGTGTATTTTTTGGTCAGCATGACTGTCCCCCGCGGGTTGGTGGGAATGGGGAGGGTTTGGGGCCCAGCAGCGGTGCGCCCCCCTCCGTGCCTGATCTAGGCAAGCGCTTTTACTGCTGCACTGCCCCCTAGGGGCGGTGGTGAAATAGCAAAGCTGTACCCATGGGTGAGGGGAGAACATTGCAAGTACCATAGCTGTTTTAGAAGTGAAAGTATTATGATAGAAAATGATGGTTTTGTATAGATCTCTTTTATGAAATAGCCAATGGACTCTAGTTTGGGAGTTCAGCCTGGGTTACTACCCAAGGTGCAGGGGGAGGTTTTTGGAATTTTTATCCCTTAAAGGGCGTTAGCTTCCTGCCCTAGGCTTTTTGTCAAAATTTGTCACTGATTGAGAACTTGTTCAAATTTTTGTATTTTGCAAAATCCTCAAGAATGGTATCCTGCCTGCCTTCTGTGTTAGAAAGAAAGGGGAGGGGCATCTGGGTGGCTCAGTCGGTTAAGCATCTGCCTTCAGGTCATGATCTCAGCCCCACATCCCTACTCAGCAGGGAGTCTGCTTCTCCCTCTCCTTCTGCCCCTCCCCCCAGTGCCTGCTCTCTCACACTCTCTCCCAAATAAGTAAAATTTTTAAAGGGTGTGGGGGGGGAGTCTCTATACTATAATAGCAAATTCAAAGTGTTTACAATGTGCCGAGCATTACTCCAAAAACCTTAATATGTATTAACTCATTTTCTCGCCCGTGAGGTAGGTATTGTCAGCATCCCCATTTTACAGATGAGGAAGCGCACTGAGGTCCCGCAGCTTGCCCGCGGCCACTCTGAGAGAGCGGCTGAGCCAGGTCCTGGCCACGGAGCTGCCCTGCCCCTCCGCTCCCCTGGAAGCTCTGTCCAGTTCTCCAGTTCAAGTGCCAATGAAAAGCCCCTTCTGTTACCAGTAATGGGCAGCTCACCTGAAAGCAAGCCTCTGGGTGCACCTGGGATTTGTGGGAAATGGAAGGACAGCTTTGATGTCTGAGTGCTCTGTCAGCCTTTTGTGTTGTTCATTTAGCACCCCATTGAAGTGATTGTAAGGGATGTAGTAGTGAACCATCTACCTGTATTTTCATTCTGCAGGTTCTGTTGTGCGGGAGAGACTGACAGGGCCGACAGGGCCGCCAGCCAGGCCAGTGTTCTCACTGCAGTTAATACGAGAATTCCCTGGAACCACCCGAAGGAAGAGTGGCTTCAGGGAGAATTCAAAGTTCCCGGTTGCCAAGGCTGGAGCTTTCCTCCCCCATCAAGGATGAGCCTCTCCAGAGGAACGCAGGAGACCAAGTATTGGAAGTCTTTAAAGTGCACACTTGTCTGGTGTGAATAACCGCTTGCGTAATTAGGTGTGCAAAAGAGCAGCTTTGTATGAGGATTAGGGGAGGAAATGGGGTAGCTGGAGGGGGGTGGGCAGCATTAAATAACTTTTAGATGAAATGTCATCGGCAGCGGTGCTTTTTTTTTTTTGGTTGGTGCTTTTTGGTTTCATTTTGTTTTTTTGGCAGACCTTTCCCTATAATCCTGCAAGGTGAGAATGGCAGGGTAGAGGACAGACCCTTTTGATCTTAAATAACAATTTCCAAAGACACATGTGACTCGTGTTTGGCTGAGGCAGGACTTGGCAGCAGCTGAACCCCAAAAGCGCCTCTCTCCTTCCCCTCTTGGAAATGTGAATATTGGCATTTTTACATGTTTACACACAAACAGCAGAACACTCAGGGCTCTTTGTGTACTTCACAAGCATTTGGGGTTTTGGCTTTGTTTTTTGGAAGGGAGTTACTTTAACCAGAATAGTTCCTTTCAGTCTTTCTAAATGAGTCTTACCTTTAATGCATCTGGCTCTTAAGTAGTCCAGATTGGGGGGTGTTTGCAACCTCCCCTTGTTTTTGCCACCCTTAATTGGCAAGAGGGATTAATGAAATCCCGTGCAGTTCCTTTTCTCTGAAGTAGAGTGCCAGGGGGCTTTGCTCTCAAGGGCTTCCTGATTTTCTTTTCTCTCTCTTTCTTTTATTATTATTATTATTTTTTTTTAGAGAGAGGTGGGTGCAGAGGGAGCGAGAAAGTCTCAAGCAGACTCTGCTGAGTGCAGGGCTTGACGCAGGGCTCGCTCTTATGGCCCTGAGACCATGACCAGAGCTGAAACCAAGAGTTGGAAGCTTAACTGACTGGGCCACCACACAGGCGCCCCGAGGGCTTTCTGATTTTCAAGTGCAGTAAGATTTGCTTAAATTTTAGGAATTCTGGAGCAGGACGCTAGAATCCTTGAATTACTGCTATGGCTGGTAGGAAGGCTTTGGCTTAAACTCCGATATGTTATACTGAGCTATAAATGGGCTCTTCAGATTTTTTTCAAAATGGCAAACTTCAAATGTTTGTTCTTGCATGTGTTACCTCTCAAGGAATGTGTTCAGAGTCCGTGACTTCTAGGCAGTCGGGCGTACCGTCTAATGCCTTATCAATAATAGACCCTTGTCGGAGAATACACGGGCGGCCCCGTCCTCGGGGACTTCAGGACGGTCCAAGTTCCATTGCCTTTCTTCTGGGTAAACTTTCTCATTGGCAGTTTGTGCGTCGGCGATGGGAGTGCACTTCAAGGAAGACAACCAGCTAGGGTGTAGGGGTGAGTGAGGCCAGGAACAAAGTTTCTGTTCCCTGTGTCACCCTGTGCCCACGGCCCCCAGCTTGCTTTATACAACTTTGTTCTTTTGTGCTGAAGGCAATGGAGTGGAGGCACAGTAGGCCTCACGGAAAGTACTTCTTACGAAGCTGGTGCTTGGGAAGGGGCAGTTCAAGGTCTATTGGAAGAGCTTTCAAAACAAAATGAGGTTCCCGTGCTAGTCACGGACTGCCTCCAGACGTACTGGAGGTGCTAATTTTATTTAAAAAATTCTTAATTTAAATTCAATTAACATACACTGTATTATTAGTTTCAGAGGTAGAGGTCAGTGAATCAGCAGTCCTATATAACACCCAGTGCTCATTACATCACATTCCCTCCTTCGTGCCCATCACCCAGTTACCCCACCCCCCCCCACACCTCCCCTCCAGCAGCCCTCAGTTTGTTTCCTATGATTAAGAGTCTCTTATGGTTTGTCTCCGTCTCTGATTTCGCCTTGTTTTATTTTTCCCTCCCTTTCCCTATGATCCTCTGTCTTGTTTCTTAAATTCCACATATGAGTGAGATCATATGATAATTCTCTGACTGACTTCGCTTAGCATAATACTCTCTAGTTCTATCCACATTGTTGCAAATGGCTAGATTTCATTCCTTTTGATGGCTGCATAATATTCCACTGTATAAATATACCACATCTTCTTTATCCATTCATCTGTTGATGGACATCTGGGCTCTTTCCACAGTTTGGCTATTGTGGGCGTTGCTGCTATAAACATTGGGGTGCATGTGCCCCTTCGGATCCCTGCATTTGTATCCTTGGGGTAAATACCCAGTAGTGCAATTGCTGGGTCATAGGGTAGCTCTATTTTTAAGTTTTTGAGGAACCTCCATACTGCTTTCCAGAGTGGATGCACCAGCTTGCATTCCCACCACCAGTGTAAGGGGGTTCCCCTTTCTCCGCATCCCTGGAAGTAGTAATTTTAAAAAGGCAGATTTTTCTGCGTCCCACCCCAAAGCTGAATCTGTATCTTCAGTACGGGGTTTGGAGAATCTGCCATTTTGACCAGCGCCCCGTACTTGTTCAAATACTAACTGCAGATCATCTTCAGAGGGTTTCGGAGGCTGAAGAGATACATGCGTGGGCAACAGGCATCCCTCTCATGCTTTTTAAAAAACACCATTTTTTACTGCAGTTGACACAGTGTTACATTAGTTTCGGGTGCGCAACGTAGTGATTCAACAACCCTATGCATTCCACTGTGCTCACCACGAGCATAGCTCCGCCTGTCACCATAGAAGGCTGCGAGAGTACCAGTAACTGTATTCCCTGTGCTGTCTCTTTCCTCCCCGGACGTATTCATTCCAAAACTGGAAGCCTGTATCTCCCGCTCCCCTTCACGCATTTTGCCCAACCCACCCCCGTCTTCCTCCCCTCTGGCAAATGTCAGCGCTCTGTATTTATGGATCTGTTTCTGCCATTTATTTTTTTTGGATTCCACACATGTGAAATCACATGGTATCTGTTTAAACAAACGAATTTTACATGGAGAGTAATGGCTAGTCTGCAAAGAGGCTCCCTGACCTGCATGCAGTCCTTAGCCCTGGAGAGGAGTTTTACATGTAGTACGACCCTGTGCCCCTGCCCACGGCTAGTTGGATCTTAGACTGATACAGGCTGCTGTTCAGTTAGACTTTCTCAAAATTTTAAAGTAAAGCAGCACAGGCATTGTAGTTATTCAGCAATGGGTACTCCTAGACCTCGAGGGCCTTGTGTTAGTGGGGGAGAGAGAGTGCAGAGAAAGCAGGAGAACGGGGCAGAGGGGAGCAAGGGAGAGGCTCTGTGGCCTCTGTGAAATGGAGAGTGAATTCAGAACCTACCGGGCATATTGTAGCTGTCACATGCTCGGGTTCCCCTCTTCCCTCAGTAAAGAATC